GGGAGTGACAGAGACAGGTAATAAAAGGTTAAAGTATGAATTTCTTCCTGCTATACAGTAAAAAAGTAAAGTAAGACTATAGCAGTAAAGTCGTTCTTAAAGGAGCCTCTAAATTACATAAACTACACAGTCTAATGCAGTTATTTACAGCATCATTATTTTCTATATCAGTCTCTTTAACCTATAATATATACTATGTATAATTTGAAAGTATAGGGCTCTATTTTAAACATTACTTTCTATGTGGTACCGCGAGCATAATAACCCTTGCATACATTTTTGTAGTAAAAATAAGTCAAGGAGTTTGTTTCTCCGCTGAAGAAAAGAAAAATGTCACACTTTAGTTTATCTGAGAAGGTAATGATTTTACCGTGTTTAAAAACGATAAATAATCCTGGACTGCTGATAAATATCCTTTAAAAAAGAAACGAAGGATAAATCATCCGATATCTTGGGCATTTCGAAATTGGCCATGTATCGTATTTTAAAAGAATATATCGAAACAGACACCGTCAATCCAGCTGAATCACCGAAAAAACGACTCTCATTAATTGAAATGATTGATGAGTTTTATAAATCGTGCATTAGACGAATAGTGTACAGCTTTTATTTAAAAGGAGTGTTACCTACAGCAAAAAAGGTGCTACATGTCATGAATGCGGACGAATCCTTACCAAACATTGGCTTGACACCGTTGAAAAAAAAATACTGAAACATTTGAAATTTAAGTATGTCAAACGAAAAAAATCTTACTTCTTTCTTAAAGGCCGGCAACTCACCTGCAATTCCCCTGGTATTGCGGTTGATCAAGGGCGTTGGTAGTCACTTAACATCAGGTGAGCCACAAGCTCATTTGCCCCTCTCTTCTATAAAAAAAACGAAGGAGAAATAACGGGTTGATCGACAGTAAGACTTATTTTTATTATTGATTGTCTGTAGGTGTACCGCAAGGCGGCATTTTTTCTCCTCTCTTGTTTTCGTTGTTTATCAATCTTCTTACTACCAACCTTCAATGTTCTTACCATCTCTATGGTGACGATCTTCAGTTATACTCATAAACGTCCTCGGTTAAAATTGTTAGCGCTATTCCAGCTATTAATCAGGACTTACAAAGCATTTTAGATTGGTCACAGTGCTTTGGTATAACGGTAAGTCCCAGTAAATGCCAGGCTATCATCATTGGTAGTCGTCGATTGGTGTCACAACTTAACATACCTGATCTACCATCCGATCGCAACGAAAACTGTAATTTCTTTCTGCACTAGTGTCAAGGATGTGGGTTTAATTATTGACCCGACCCTTAATTGGAGGTTACAGGTGTCAGAGATTTGTCGTAGAGTCACAGGCATACTTCGTTCCATCTATAGTCTAAGTTATTTCTGCCTCCTTCAACTAAGCTTCTACTTATCCAATCTATAATTCTTCCATTATTTGACTATGTAGATGTTTGTCTCTCTCAGGAGCTGCTAAGCAAGTTGGACAGATTACTTAATAACTGCATACGATTCATCTTTGGCCAGCGCAAATATGATCACGTATCAGAATTTCGCTCCCAGTTAAAGTGGTTGACTATACTTCCCTATACCTCCCTGTTTTCAGTTTTTAATGATTCTTCCTCACCCCTTTACCTAAAAGAAAGATACCAATTCCGTAGTGACACTCATTCTCTCGGTCTCCGACCTCCACACAATTTATTACTGTCTACTCCTCTCCATCATTCTGGGTATATGTCAAATTCTTTCACACTTACTTCCATCTCCCTCTGGAACAAATTGCCCGTTGACCTGCGAATAATACCTGCCAAAAACGTTTTTAAAAGAAAACTATACAAACATTTCCATAACCAACAAATTTGAGTCCACTTACTTTATAATTATGTAAGTTATTTGTATATACATTTATTCAGATACATATGTATAAATGTGTGTATTTATTTATATACGTATATTAGTTACATTATTTATATGCTTATGTGTACAATATATATGTGTATATACGTATTTATAATTATGTATGTGTAACATGTACAAATTTGAATTGAATGTGATCATGACAACTTTACTGCCCATAACTCACTCTCTGTTCTACCCAAGGTTAGCTGGTGGAGAATGCCACATAGCATTAAGCTTGCCTTTTGTACAAAATCTTTGGTGCAATAAAAAATAAAATAAATACACAAACAGCGTCCATATCGGCTCGAAACCTACTCTGGTAAATATAAAGTAGATAGAGTATAGTAATATAGTATGTAACCTTTTAATTGTTATTTATTTAATAACCCTAGATTATAAGTTCTTTTTGTAATTACCAACCCACTCTATGGAAAGAAATTTCTGAAATAATGGATAATTATAATATCGCTATCTCTATGTACAAAATATTTTGAATTTATTACGTACTTCCTCCTGAATAAAAAAAAAATTTAAACTAAATTAATACTGAAAAATCATATTCATATTTCAAGTAATCAAATTACAGAAGGTGTTTATAAAATGAAAATCCTTTTAGTTCATAGTGAATACGATATTATTTTACGGTCAAAAAAGTACATGAGTTTCTAGAAAGACTAAAAAATATCGAACATATTTGTAATAACACTACAGCTATATCATACATAAACCATAATGTGTGTGGCATGTAATAACCACATAGAGTGAAATAGTTTACGAAATTTATCGTGTAACATATATCTGTTTCTTATTTGCCTTATAAATACCTCCTCAAAGTATTCTCTCGTACGCTCACAAACCAGGAAAAGTAATGACTAAATGAAATGGAAATGAAACTCCTAAGTTTATAGGCAATTTGTCTCTAAGTTTTTGACCAAAGTTAATAGATAAACTAAAGTTGATTCATTTGATATTAGAAAAATATAAATGCATAAAATTCATGGGTAAACCTTAAGTTTTACCCGTGAATTTTATACTTTTCTTCTTACACAATCTTAAAATACGATACAGAAGAAGGAATAACTTTCAATTCTTCATAAGCCTGGTACTAAATCCTTGTTAGAAAGAAGAAAAAAAAAAAGACTTATTAAAATTCTTACCCTGGTCGACAACTGTTATGTAACATCTCCATAGATCTAAACTTACTTTACTGCGGCTGCTGTCGTCAGGGAGGTATTTATGTACGAAAAGCATAAAAATAATCATTAAACCCTTGTCTGTATATACAACACGTCTATTGTCAAAAATCGTGGTAGATAAAATAAGAAATTTACTTATTATGTGAAGTGTTCTTCCTATTATGTGAAGTGAAGTTTAATGGGTTTTTTCTGGTGTAAATAGGATGAAAAAAAAACTAGAATACGATCAATGCTGAAGTCTAACACAATTTGGTTTACATGAATTTTATCAAAAAAAAGGAAGAGAAAAATATTTTATTAGTGCGAGAAAATATGAGTATTTTAACCGACTTCAAAAGGAAGATTTAAAGAAAAGTAAGAAGAAAGTATTCAACTTAGCTGTGTGTGTTTCTTATGTGTGTTTCCTCACAAATTTCCTATGAGTGAACCCGTTTTGATGATTCTTTTTTTTTATTTAAAAGTTGGTGCTTTTCTGTGGTCCTAAATAAATTTGATCAAGATCTGACTATCAGTTTTTGCGTCATTCATAACAATACGTATTTAGTGGACTTCGAATACATAGATGATGTTCTTATTTTATTTATATTGAAGTCGACTATATTTTTTTTAATTTTACCACTTGTATCATTTACCTTATCAAATCACATAAACGTCACTAAAGCGGTATGAAATTTAGTAAATTTGTGGTTTATTTTCAAAACTTCTTAATATACCTGCAATAAGTCAGACAGTTAGATAAAATATTTTAACAAGAAAATTAATTAATTGTACCAGGCATTTATCCCTTTCTCGTCCTAGATGAAGTGGTATTGATATTGAAAATGTTAGATAGACAACAAAATTATATTCAAAACTTTTTCCACTTTTTATAATGGGCCATTGTTAATTAAGAGTAATATTATCCTTCGCATTGGAAATAGTATAAAATAAATGAACAATAATTCATTATGTGAAATTATATTATCTAAATTTATATATTATATTTAATGTTTTTTTGTTGTAAACTGTTATTTATGATAATTTATGACAGAAAATAATTTAAATGAAGCAATCTTATCTTTAAATATCTACATGGTATACAAACACAGGGGAGGCGTCAAGAAATATAATTGTTTGATCAAAGTACCTTACCTGTAAGTGTCCATCGATCAAAATTATATGAAGTTGACGCTTCCTCCGTGTATAACTCTACCCTGTTGTATATTATTACCCACCCTTAGGGCTTGCTTGCATTTTAATGATTTTTCATAATTCCAGTAAATATAAATTCACAATGACATGAGGTGTATTGTGTCGTCAGCAGAGCAGGAGCTCATATAGGTTGAAATACCAGTAAAATCTTTTTTTTCCTCCCGGAAGGTTAAAACTCGTGTGATTTGGTCAGTCAATTCATGACTACGTAGTATACAAACACATGAGACACTAATTTTGGCCCGACCTAACATTCGAACCCTGGACCTCATAATCAGAAATTACGTTTTTGACCACTAGACCAACGAGACAGATATAATGTATATAAAATCAATAGAGTAAAGTAGAATAAAAACTATTACATGACAAGCATATAAAGTCAAAAGACCAATCTAAATATCTTCATCATGCTAGTTAACAAGGTTTCAACGATAAATATATATCTCTACATTAACGATTTCAGAATATCGTGTGATAGCATTATAAAGTATAAATTCATAAAAGTTTAAAACTGTTTAAGAAAGGATCACATAAATAAAACAACGCGATGTAAACAATCGTTTTAATTTCGTGTCTATCAAAAGAAATTCGACTGATTTTCGATCATTCGTCAATTCGTCGTATAAACTATTATAATAATATATTTTATTTACAGTAATCATAATAATATACGCAGTGCGAGGAATGTGAAGTCCGGCAGTCCGTTGAGCCGCGGCTTGCGTCAGCGAGGCGGCGGCGGGCGCGGCTTGGCGGTCGCGTACGCGATCTCGGACAGGCGCACGTCGATGGGCGCGCGCTCGTCGTACAGCGTCGGCGCCTGCAGTATGATACCCGCCGACCCCACCACCACTGCCAGCGTGAAGATCCACAGGAACAGCCGATCCAACACCATCGCCACGTACTTCCAATCCTCCTTCACCTATGTGACAACCCACGTTTCAAATTAAACTGGTTTTTCCACCGACTTTACAAAAAGAAGGAGGTTCTCAATTTGACATTTGACAAAATTGAAAATTTTTCTGGGTGAACCAATTTTGATGATTCTTTTTTTATTTGAAAGCTAGTGCTTTTTATGTGGTCTCACATAAATTTGATACTGAGTTGTAGAATTTTTTGTTCATTTTTCCACTTTTATATACTTACTGCTGCGGTGCGCAGTGGCTTAACAATGAGTTACAGCGCTGGGGGCCGTTGGTTTGAATCCCGCACTAAACAAGTGGTAGAGCCATGCTGCAGTTATATTAGTAGTATAGTTGTAGCACGAATGGGTGGGCTCGATCGGGGAAGGACCACGCTCTCACAGAATACCAGCGTAAAATAGTAGCTTAATGCTGCTGTGTTTCGTATAGTGAGTAAAGAGAACCGGAGACTCTTTTTACTGGAAACGGCGCATTCTATGTTAGTCCTCACGGGTAACAACATATCTGCATTTGGATTCCTAATCAAGTGTAGATGTATATGTTTATGGACCACACACTTACCATCAGGTGAACTATGTGCCCGTTTGTCGTCCAATCATATAAAAAAAGAAACAAGTATTGTCTACAAAAATATTCCGGATCTACAGAGAGATCAAGAGATTACAGTGCAAGATTGTGTTTTTGCCGACAATTGCTGGAGAAATGAAAGAAGATGCACAGATTTTCAATAAAATTCTATGAAGTGATGAATCAACATTTAAAATAGATGACTACATAAATTTATATAAATATCCATAGCTGGCAACTAGAAAAGCCTCGTGTTATGCGTGAAGAGAGGTCACAGTACCAATATAAAATAAATTAAAATAATAGGCCCATTTTTTTATCGTAAAAAAGAATATTACCAATGCTATAAACATTACTAATATTCCCCTTAACCACTCGTGGTAAGCTTAAACTGCTTTTGTTACGAGTGGTTCACGCCAGTAGTCGAATGGTGGATTCGAACCTACGACCGTTTTGAGTTCGCGGTCCGCGCCCTGCCATTAGGCTACTGTCGCTTCAAAAATTTGAATTTGAATTTGATTTACCGGAGAACTTAACTGGCCAAAGTTATTTAGAAATCCTTGACAATGACATTTCAAATTTATTGCAAGCGGTACCCGATTGAGGTTGAGAATTGTATTGGTTGCAAAATGTCGGAAATTAAAAATGGGAATCCTACGCATTATGCTGTATCTGTTCAGAAACAGAAACAGAATTTTTTCGAGCCATTTTATTGGAACTGTCTTTAAAAACAAGTTTAAGCAAAGTCAATTCTTTCAAGGAACGGCCTTGAAAGACTGTTAAGAAAAGGTTAAACACAAATAGCAATAATTCACTATATACATTAGGTACAATGATGAATAATACTATTTCGAAATAGCGGCTTTAAGCACATGTTATTTTAAAAATATTGCTATTAAATTAAAAAAAATAAAATAATAAAAAATTAAATATTTTTAACTTATTCGTTACGAGAACATTAATCCAAGCTGTTTTTTGAAAAAGAAGGCATATTATTTATTGCTGATCTATCAGCACAGTTAATTTAAATTACTGTAACAATAGAATACCGACGGAATTCATAAATTTGATGTGCAATAATCTAAATAACATTAAAAAAATATCGATATTGTTTTAAAAACACATATATTTGGTACAACTTCTTTTTATTTATGTTTTTTTTCTGAATGGCCATTAGTTCTACCAAGACCCGTTTGAAGGTTGTCCGTTAATTACCGAACATACTGTATATAATTTCAATTCAATTCCGGGGTATGAACATGTTAATAATTTGCATAAACGTATTTGAAAACAGAACAGCCGCTAATTATTGCTGTAACAGATTATTAGATTTGATCTTACTGATATTGAATAAAGTTACATAATATAATACATAAACACTCACGCTTGTCACCCAGAGGGGTAGGCAGAGACTACAGACTTCCATTTGGCACGATCCTGACACACCTCTCTTGCCTCCTTCACATCCATACACCTACGCATACATGCTCGTCGGTTAAGGGTACTCCTAATTTAGCCCGTTTTCAATAAATCGCCAATTTGGTCGATAAATTTTCGCCTAGGACGTCCCTTTCCGACTCTGCCATTCACTTTTGCACCATAAATTTTCTTTGTCACTCTTTCCTCATTCATTCTTTCCACATGACCAAACCACCGAAGCATTCCTTTCTTAATGGTTTCTTAATGGTAAAATTTAATTCCTGGTCACATCATCTTGCAAACCACACTCTTCCCTTATTACACAATTTCTTACCCTGTCATTCAGATTCAGCCCTAACATACTCCTTAACGACCGCATTTCTACTGCGTTTATTTTACTCTCGTGCTTCTTCTGCCACACCCAACTTTCACTACCATACGTTAAAGTAGGGACCAACACAGCATTGTGAATTGCCATACGTACCTTTTTCCACACATTTTGACTCTTCACAATAGAGTGCAAGGCCCCATTTACTCTATTTCCCGCATTCACTCGTCGTTCTATATCCTTATCATATCTCCCATCCCTGCTAAATACGCAGGCCAAATATACAAACTCATCTACTTGCTCGATCAACTCCCCTTCTGTTCTTATTTCAAAAATCGTTTTACTTTCTTCTCTTTCAAAAACCATAACCTTCGTCTTACTTGCGTTCACTTTCATACCCCTTTCTTTTAATGATCCGTTTATTTGCAACTCGGCCGCCGACGACGCAAGAATAACTTGATCATCGGCGTACAAAAGGCATTTGACGGTTAACTCACCCATTCTTAATCCGCATACTTCAACTTTCAAATTTTGCAAACAACTGTCCATAAATAGGTTGAACAGCCACGGGGAAGCCACACAGCCCTGTCTGACAACTTTATGGATGTCAAATCAGTCCGAGTCGACCCCGTTGATCCTAACACAAGCACTAGAGTCCCTATAAAGAGACTCCAATGCCTGTACAAGCCAGCGCTCAACCTAAATGAGTTCAGTGTTTGCCATAGCAAATCCCTATCCACTCTGTCATAGGCCTTTTCCAAGTCCATAAACGCACAAAAAACCTTTTGGTTTTTGGCCAGAAACTTCTCCGCGATCACGCGCATGGAAAAGACTTGATCTGTACATCCCATTCCCTTTCTAAATCCCGCTTGCACATCCCAAATTTTCCCATCAGTTTCTTTCATGACCCTTTCAATCAGTACCTTAGCATACAGTTTTCCCACGATGCTAAGAAGGCTGATGCCACGGTAGTTTTTACATTCCTGCTGCGACCCTCTTCCTTTCACGGCTATCACGGCTTTGCACCAGTCTACCGGTACCCGCTTCAGTTCCCAGCATAAATTAAACAAGGTGTGCAGCAGGCCTGCCACCACTTCCTCTCCAGCCCTTAGCATTTCGAGTGAAACTCTATCATATCCAGCAGCCTTAGCTGCTTTCGTGCTTTTCATTGCTTTCATTATTTCATCTATACTTATCTCACTACGTCTTTCCTCTTCTTTCGGTGTTTCTACTTCACTTAGTACACGCGTTGTCTCCTCACTCATAAACACGCTTTCAAAATATTCCTTCCATCTGTTTAAACTCAAAACTTCATCATTCAGAATATAGCCATTCTCGTCTCTTATAGCATTCATCATAGGCTGTTTTGAATGTTCCCTGGCAGTTCTTACAAGTTTCCAGAACATTTTAATATTTGCCTGGAAGTTATCTGATATTCTTCTATCATTCTTATCCGTTCTTTCTTGTTTTTTTCTTTCAACTACTTCTTTTACTCTCTTATTAAAATGTCTAAAGACTGCCTTTTTTCTTTCAATATCACCATTCGTACCACTAGAATTAGCAGCCTTTGTTGCTAGTAAATCTAGCCATGCTCTCTTCTTTGCTTCAACTTCCATACGTATCTCATCATCCCACCATAACGTATTATTTTTCCTTTCATTCTTTCTCTTACTAACACCACATACTTCGGTAGCTGCATCCACTAAACCTTTCTTTACATTTTGCCATATATTCTCCAAGTCTAACTCCTTCATACATAATTCGTCCAAACCACTTATATTTTCTTTCAGTCTACATTTGAACTTGTTTTTATCACTTTTATCTTGTAAACTTTCTGTTCTAATACGCTGTAACGCAGTGGTAGACACAGACGATCGATGGCGCCAACCCCTGAATAGACCATTAATTCGGCATAAAACTAAATAATGATCCGTTCCTAGGTTAGAACCCCGGTAAACTCTCGTATCTACCACTGCGCCCCTCAATCTTTCATCCACAATTATGAAATATATCATGCTTCTATCGTCACCTCTTTCCCAAGTATACATGTGAATCCTCTTGTGGCGAAAGCAAGTGTTCGTCACAAAAAGATTCTTTTCCATACATACGGTGAGGAGACTTCCACCATTTTCATTTATACTTTCATCACCAAACGTTCCCAATATCCTTTCATAACCAAACCTCCTGACCCTAACCCTTCCATTAAAATCTCCTAGCATAATAATATTTTCATTTCCCTTACACTTCATTAACACCATCCTTACCATTTCCCAAAACTGCTCTCGGATATAAGTGGGCTTAGACATGTCTGGGGCGTAGACCCCTAACACAAACAACTTCTTTAAACCCACTTTCATTCGTATCCATAGCAGTCTTGGGCTTACACATTCATACTCTTTCACACATTGGCCCATTCTTTCTGAAAGGATGATACCTACTCCATGGCATGCCCGCTCGATCTGTCTACACCAGACCAGTATGCGGTATACATGCCATGTGTAGTGACATCCTTCCCCTTTCTTTTCGTCTCATTTACGCATAACACATCTATTCCTCTATCATACATCATATCGCATACTTCATCCATTTTATCATTCATTGCCCCACATACATTCAACGTAGCCAGACGGGCCTCCGCAATCCACTTTTCGCCTCTCTGGGAGACAGAACGTGACGGGTGGCGAACCTCGTCGCCGGTTTTCCTCCCGGAGATTCTTCGCACCCCTGCCCCATTAAAGGGGCGCCGGGAACTCGGGGCCATTTCTTTAATTCGATTCCTCATGGTGCGAAATGGGGTGGTTTATTTAACGCCGCTACCACGGCGTGGAGCCGAGTCTGTGTTACCGGCTTGTCGCTCATTTAGCACCACCCGGGAGACACGTGTAGGGTGGGCCTAGGAACAGGTGGTCAAAGCCTACGGACGCGAGCGACTTACCCCCCTATGAATAAAGTTGTAAGTTAAAATGATAGTTTCAACAATCCACATACAATTGCCGTGTAGTGGCGGTTAAGAATATCCACTACCCCATATCTTCCCGTGGGTGTCGTAAAAGGCGACAGAGGGAAACAGGCAGGAGATGGGCAGCAGCATCTTCCTGATAACAGCAACTATACGACAAAAAAACTGCGGTTGCCAACCCGCTCGCCAAGCGTGGCAGCTATGGCAATATACCCCCCATGAACAATTACACAAATAGACGGCCCCCAGTCCCCGGTGGCCCCGCTATTCCCGGCTACGGTAGCGACCATGGTAACGGCGGGGCAGGGGGTGCTAAGAATCTCCGGTGGAGGTTCGGTTGCCACCTACGACGACTCGACCTGGCAACATTTAACGTACGCACACTGAGGACTGACGAGAAGATCCTGGAGCTGGAAGAAGAGATAGACAAGTTGCACTGGAGTATTATAGGATTATCCGAGGTCTGAAGAGAGGGGGAGGACACGGTGATTCTCGAATCCGGCAACTTGTTCTATCACCGGGAGTTCAGTGATGTCTCAGTGATCGCAAGGGTGAAAACTGGCAGCGATCACCGAATGGTTAGAGGCACACTGAACCTAAACGTTAAGTTGGAGAGGTCTCATCTAATGAAGTCAACGCTCCGTCCCCCTCGTGCTCTAATCCAAAATCCCGAAAACTTTCAGCTCGAGTTACACAACCGCTTTCAGTGCCTACAAGATTGCAATGCAGTGGACGATATGAATGACAAGCTCGTGGAAACTGTCCATGCGGTCGGAGCTAAGCTCTGCAGGACCCGCCGCAGAAGAACACAAAAACTCTCCGATCACACCCTTAATCTCATGGCTGTTAGACGGGAGATGAGGCTGCAATCGTCAACAGATTTGACAGCATACAGGCAACTGAACAGACAGATCTCCAAATGCATGCGGCGAGACTTACGCAATTAATACTGCTCGTATTAAAGAAGCGATCGAGCGGAACCAGGGCTACAAAGTCTTTGCCAGAGATCTGTCTGCCCGTAAGAGCCAACTGTCAAGGCTGAAGACTGAGTGTGCCAGCATCGTTTCCGGGACACCTGAGATTTTGAGTGAGATTGAGAGGTTCTATGGGCAGCTGTACACATCATCGTTGGAGCCACACGCAAGTATGAGTAACGATCCAAGAGCAAGTCTTATCCGACACTATTCCGATGATATCCCGGACGTCAGTCTAAGCGAGATTAGAATGGCTCTCCAGCACCTTAAAAATGGCAGGGCCCCAGGCGAGGATGGAATTACAGCGGAGCTTCTGAAAGCGGGTGGAACACCGGTACTTGAAGTCCTTCAGAAGCTCTTCAATTCCATCCTCCATGGTGGCACTACTCCAGAGGCGTGGAGCAGAAGTGCGGTGGTCTTGTTCTTTAAGAAAGGCGACAACGCTCTCTTGAAGAACTATAGACCGATTTCCCTTCTGAGCCGCGTCTACGTGCTGTTTTCGAGAGTCATTACGAATCGTCTCGCACGCAGACTCGACGACTTCCAGCCTCCCGAACAAGCCGGTTTCCGAAAAGGCTTCAGAACCATAGACCACATACATACCCTGCGGCAGATTGTACAGAAGACTGAAGAGTACAATTTGCCACTTTGCCTGGCGTATGTGGACTATGAGAAAGCCTTTGATTCCGTCGAAATTTGGGTGGTGCTGCAGTCCCTTCAGCGGTGCCAAGTTGACTGTCGGTATATCGAAGTGCTGAAGTGTTTGTACAGTAGGGCTACGATGGCTATCCGATTACAGAACCAGAGCTTGAAACCTATCCAACTGCAGAGAGGTGTAAGACATGGTGACGTTATATCCCCGAAACTCTTCACCGCTGCTTTGGAAGACGTTTTCAAGCTACTGGACTGGAAAGGATACGGTATTAACATCAATGGCGAGTACATCACTCACCTTCGATTTGCCGACGATATGGTCCTTATGGCAGAATCGCTGGAGGACTTAAGCACTATGCTCAATGACCTCAATAGTGCCTCCCAACGGGACCTATCCGTTCTGACATTAAACATAATCTTTGTTTTGTCCATGTTCAGATGAACATGGACAAAACAAAGATCATGTTTAATGTCCATGTCACACCTATGCCGGTAGTTGTTGGGAGCACTATGCTCGAAGTTGTTGACGAGTACGTTTACCTGGGACAAATAGTCCGACTAGTTAAGTCCAACTTCGACCGAGAGGTCAATCGACGGATTCAACTCGGCTGGGCAGCGTTCGGGAAATTACGACACATCTTCTCGTCAGGTATACCTCAATCTCTGAAAACTAAAGTGTACAACCAGTGCGTGTTGCCAGTGATGACTTACGGATCAGAGACGTGGTCCTTCACTGCTGGCCGTATGAGGACGCTCAAGGTCGCTCAGCGAGCTATGGAGAGGGCTATGCTCCGAGTTTCTCTGCGTGATAGACTCAGAAATGAGGATATCCGCAGTAAAACCAGAGTGACCGACATAGCCCAACGGATTAGTAAGCTGAAGTGGCAATGGGCCGGCCATATAGCTCGAGCTGGAGTGACGACCTGGTAAGATATGCAGGACCGTGCTTTGTGGCATTACTGGGGGAGGCCTATGTTCAGCAGTGGACTTGTGAAGGGCTGTGATGATGATGATGATGATGACATACAATTATTAAAAATAATAATTGTTTGGTTGGATATGTATATCATCGATTATATGTACTGCTCTGATGTCGTTCCATTTTTCTGTAATTTTATTCACACTGAATGTATTGAATATATCAAGAAAGTGTTGCTTGAAAATCTTAAAGGCATGAACTGAATGATGAAATGATGAAGACTTGACTGTAGAGGTCAGTATATCTTTTAGGTCCGTTCATAACATTCTGATCGATATTTTTAAATAAAGCCATCTATCCTGGTTTCGCCTTGATAGAAGATATTAATCTAGCGTTTAAGATAATTAAATGACCATTCATTTTACACAAATTTTTAGATTTATTAAATATTTAATTTTTTCGGATAAAATATAGCCTAGATACTTAGTATCGCTCTCAATCTGTTCGTAAAGTTGTATCACAATCGGTTCAGCCATTCCAAAGTTTATCCCGAACAGATAGACAGATAAATATTAAAAAAATGGTTAATTATCTCTTAATCACCTGAGCTTAAAAATTACAGACACTTAATTTCATTTTTAGAGAAAATACATTTAGCATGAAAATATTTAGTTTGAATTACCCTAGTAGACTCTTCCTCCTTCCGCGTTTGGTCAGCAATATAGTTGATTCCATCGATGGCCTTGTGAAGTTCGGGACAGCGGTGCCAACGGCGCAGAGTATCGCAGAGTGCGGGTGCGTCTTGCACTGGCGCTTCGTGTGCAGCGTGTGCCGTGGTATGCGGCGTGCCGTGTGGCGTGGGGTGCGGCGTAGCGTGCTGCGTGGTGTGCGCCGTGCAGTGCAGCAGGCACGCGCCCGGCGACGCCTCCACACACGTCAGCTCCATCGCCTCCCGTGCCACGATGCCCGCGCTATAAATAAAACACCGTTTTACCTAACTACCTCCCTGTACTTGTACTCCCTGTACCTACCTGTTACTTGACTTTATTAACTCACCTTTAACTTTAACTGTTTCATTGGTGTAATGGTCGCAAACGTGGTTGCAGATCCCGAGTTCAAAACCCAGGTCGAGACAAAATTGGTAATTAAGATTTTCTGTTAATAAATTCTCGCCTGTTGTGTAGGATTTCCGTCTCATCGGACTATGAGAGTGAGGAACTATTTCCTCTCTATAGAGTATATCTGAGTTTATGCATACACTCGGGTTTGTAATCCTGTCTTGCGCAAATGACTAGTCTCAGTTGAGATTGACCAAGGTGACAGAAATTCGGTCAATAGGACTCGCTTTCGATGTTCGGAACGAATTTAGTAATTGATATTAAACTAATTTCCCGATGACTTAAAGATTTTAAATTTTGAACATAGCTCAGAATTGGATGACGATATAAGAATATGAAGAATTAATTAAATGAATAATTTCCCATGTTTTGCACAACACGTGTAACGTTGTTGTGAAGTCCGCTAATACGCATAGGAGCAATGCAACGAAGAAATTGCTCCTTAACCCACTCAGAAAATGAAAGGCCTTTTCTCACCCGTAGAACTTATATAGGCTGTAACTTGCCTTTTAGCTTTAACACTTGTAACTGATAACATTAATGGTTTCTTACATTTAAAATCACACATTCGATAAAATTAATTGAATCTATTGATAAAAGAAAAAATGACTATGGAGGCTAAATAAATAACTCTTTAAATAAATAACTCTTTGGTTGTGTTGTTATCTTTTAGCGTGTCAATATTGAAATCACCGCAAAGAATAAATTTCATGTTGCTTTTAGTCGTTAGCTTAAAGAGTAGTGTATCCAGCTTATTAAAAAATACGGAAGCCGGTGATTGCGGTATCCTATACACGCAGACTATTTTGCATTTGTAGGCTGGTACCTCAATTCCACAACATTCAAAATATTTTTCAACCGATATTTCATTACATAAATTTATGGGCTTAGAGAGAAGTGTTTTATCTGTGAGTATACACACTCCACCACGTCTTACTTTTGATCTGCAGAATGTGGAGGCAACTTTGAAGTTTTTCAGTTTAATGTTAGATTCTTCTCCTTTTTTACAAATGTTTCGGTGAGACAGATAAGAGTAATTTCTTTATCATTGCCTGTCAATTCATTGACACATAATTCTAACATATGAGTTTTGTTTAATAATCCAGCGATATTTTGATGAAGTAATGTTACTGTAGCAAAAGTATTTTCATCATTGTGAGCGAAAAAGAGGCTGAGTAAAACTGCGGTTGGATACGTTTTCAGGCAAAACTTTCGAAAAATAATCTAGAATACTTTTCTGCTTAAGTGTAGGGGTATTCTTTAGATCGGGGCAACATATAGTGTTTGAATAACAACTTTTTTTGATAGTTTCTTTCTGACAAAATGCGTGATACACCAGTTTTATTACCATGTAAATAGGTGATTTTATAATCTATGCAGTCTATAAAAAAATTCAATCTCTGCGATAAACTATAATTGATGTTATAATTATAAATATTATTTTCATATTTTTCAAAGGTGTCAATGTAATAACAATTAGAAAAGTGATTACATATTAGTTTTATTTTGTTATTAAGCAGTCGAATATTTAAGTGATTATTATAATTAACATTTAAAACCATTACACAGTGAGAACGCAATTTTGTTAGGACAGCTGATAGTTCTATAAATAGTTTTGTTGGGTTAAAATCGTTTTCTCCTATGCTTAATATTATTTTATCATCAGGTTTTAGTGCAAGAGTTTCGAAGTTTCTTAATATCTCCTCAGTTGTTGCAAAAGGTTTAACGCAGCCGTATATATCGTAATGTTCATATTTAGTATTATAACGTAATTTGGTCAATCTAGATGCTAACTTACTACAACGTTGAGCTCCAAATATTAATAAGCGTCTTTTGGTAACGCTATCAGTATTCCTTCGTTGGTTGGTGACGCTATCAGTTTCACTCTTGGTTTTATTTGTTGAGGGCAATGTGTCTGGAGACTTACTTGATGCGTTCTTAGTGGTTGATATTATGTTGATGTTTTCTTTCGATGAGCAACAAAAAGCAGAGGTTTTTACACTTTTTACATCATAATAATTCTCACATGGTTTTTTGTATGTTGAGGAAGTTGGAGGACAGTTCTTTAAAGGAGTGAGCGAGACTGTTTTCTCAGAAAAATCTATCTTTTTAGCCACATTATTACTTCTGTTGATTTTCCTTGTTTGTTTTTTATTTGAAGTGCAGATTGTTGTTAGTTGATTAATTTTGTTTTGCTGGTCTTTAATAATCTTTTGGAGGCTATGGTTTTCCGTCAGTAAATTTTGAACTTCGTTATGTGCACTATCTAGCTGTGATCTCAACTCATTAATGGTATCCTTTAATTGATTAAAAATCCGACGGTAACATAAAATTATCTTTATTGAAGTTATATGCTTTTTAGGCAATTATTTACAATGAATTGACTACGGCAGTAACATCTTTAAGGCCAATCTTTAATAATAATTTTTTAAGATTAATAATAATAAATAATTATAATAATATCAATGAAACAATAATAATAATAGTATTTAAAATATTAATCATAACAATAATAATAATTAGTAGCAGATTTGTTATCGCACGGCGCGGTCACTCAAAACAATAATAATAATAGTATTTAAAAATAATCATAACAATAATAATAACTGTTGACAGGTTTGTTATCGCACGACGCGGTCACTCGCTACTTTGGTAGGGAGCGATTGTGTCAGCTTGCATAAATAGCAACTGTTTCGACTCGCCGCTCACTTAGCGGTCAGCTGCCGTAGAGTCTATATTACCTGAGGATGCCTCGTGTAGAGGCGAAACACGTGTCGTATTATCGTCGATGGTGTGTCTTACCTGGAATAGTGGTGTTGAGAGTAGTGGTGCTTGGTCTAGTGGTGACGGAGTTAGTGTATGCAATTGAGGGAGGGCGGGAGGTGCGCTTCAATCCAGGTAAGACACATCATTTTATATGTTTAGCGGAAAGTTGCAAAGAAATTTATATTTTTATTTTTTAGTAACATTTATTCCAAAACTCAAGCCAATCTGAATCTCAACGATAAAGGCGCTCATAAGATGGATTCAACGATCAAAGTTATCGTTCTCATTGTCAGCCTAAACTGTTATTTAAAGTACTGATTAACAATGTGCAATGAACAATGCATGTCAAAGAGATGTACTTGTATTTCAAGGACATAAAGACTCCTTAATTTACAGAAGAACCCTTATTTACTTCATCACCATCACCATTAGATGGGATGGGGGTATGAGGGTCTGCCTCACTGCTGAACATAGGCCTTATCAATGGAATGCCACCACAAGACGCAGTTCTGTTTACTAAAAAAATCTAAATAATATTCCAACTTACAAGCGACTTCTGTGAGGGTCGAGGCGACAGTGCGGGCGTCGCATGACCAGCAAACGTGGCAGCACGTGGATGAACACGCGGCGCACCCACGGCGCCATGGTGTGTGTCTGCGGCGACCGGAAGTGCACGTTCAGCACCACCACAGTCACGCAGATGCTGCCCACGTATCAACCACAATCATAAAATATTAATATACGTTTTTAAAACAAAGCAACATTTAACCAAACAAAAATTTTCCTTGGTGAGCAATATAAACTAAAAGACTGGATTTTTTTATTTCTACTTCCATTTGCATCCTTATAACTACCGTTACAGCCTATGAAAGTCCACTGCTGAACATAGGCCATCTCATAAATTGCCTTACAGGGGGGATACTTGCCATAGTTGCCACCCTTGGCTAGCAGGATGATAACCGCATTTTTTAAAATTCGTTATTAAGAAGACGCTGCTGCCTATAATTTAATTTGTTTTTCTCTGTTGCTGCTGCCTACAGCACCCCCTGGATATTATAGTTTTTTTTTATATAAGAAGGAGAAAAAGGGAATAGAGTTCACCTGATGTTAAGTGAACAACCGAAACATCAGGGGAATTGCAGGTGCCTTGCCGCCCCTTTAGAAAAGAGTAAGCTCTTTCCTTGAAGGTCCCCAGGTTGTATCGGTGCGGAAAAATCGTCAGTGGTAAACTTTTCCACAGAGATTTTGTACGCGGAAGAAAACTCCTAGTTAAACGTATAGTTGTGGACTGCCAAGCATCCAGATAATCTTGATGGTATCGGGAGGTTTGCCGCGTATGGTGTTCATGAAATTGGCGGCTGGGATTAATCCGAACAATTGCTCAGAGCACAGAGATGCAAATCTCTTCGCGGCGACAGTGAATCTAGCCAATCGGAAGGCACTCGGTCGTTGACGATTCTAGCCGCTCTGCGCTTGATGCGGTCAAGTGGAAGGAGCTGACACTGGGGAGCCCCAGCCCTGAGATGGGAACAGTATTCCATGTGCGGCCAAACCTGCGCCTTGTAAAGTTGCAGGCGGTGTGCCGGCATGAAATACTGTCCTGTTCTGCTGAGCACGCCAAGCTTTTTAGAGGCCAATTTAGCCTTCTCTTCCAAGTGATAACGAAACTGCATGTCACTCGATATATCGACGCCGAGGATTCCGATATTGGCTCAGTTAACAAAGGGAGTGCCTTGAAACTGAGGAGATACAACAAAGGGTTTCTTTTTAGTGGTTAACGCGCAAACTTGTTTCTTCTGTGAGTTAAACTTTAATCGTCCCCAATCCGAAACTTTGTTCAGCAAAGACTCGAATTCAGACTCAAGTTTTTCCCGGTATTCGGTGACATTTCCCCGAGAAATGTTGGCACGGCCGCTGTACAGAGCATCACTTGTGCTGTCTTCTGCATAGCAATGAATGTTGCCGGTTTGTAACATATCGTTGATATGCAGAATAAATAGCTTTGGTGATAGCACGCAGCCTTGTGGAACACCAGGATAATAGGTTTTCAATCGGAGTTTTCACCATCTAAAATGACCTTGATGCTCCGATCTGCAAGAAACATTATACATAATTTCTCAAGAAGCACATTGAAAGGGAGCTTCGAAAGAAGCGCTTTGTGCCAAATCCGATCGAAGGCTTTCGCAATGTCCAAACTAACGGTCAATAGAGTATAAGTAATATAGAGATATAAGTCAGGTAGACCAGAAGATCACCAGATGATCGACCACGACGAAAAGCGTAAAAAACGTAACCGTAGATATTATTACACCTTCACTACACGAAAATGCATCCATATACCTATTATAAACTTATTTTTAACTTCTCGCTACGAAAAGCAATGATTTTTGAAAAATCACAGTGTTTCACACAGTTTTGGGAAATCGATTTCATCAGATCTTGACGTTTTGAGGTCCTAGGAAGCTTTTCTGACTATTTCTACGAAGACGTCTTGCGTGCGTGCGTTCGTGCGTGTGTGTGTGAGTGTGTGTGTGTGTGTGTGTGTGCGCGCCCGTGTGTGTGCGTGTGTGTGTGTGTGTGTGTGTGTGTGTGTGTGTGTGTGTGTGTGTGTGTGTGTGTGTGTGTGTGTGTTGTATGTGTAAACCGCTCATAACTTTTGAATGTCTTGACCGATTTGAAAGAACTTGTTGGCATTCGAAGGGTTTTGTTTTGGATAATTTTGAGTATTCAACCAAATATATATATATATATATATATATATATATATATATATATATATATATATATATATAATATTTAACATTATAATAAATAACTTAACTAAAATAATAATTAAAATTATAATATTTACGATTAAAACTAATTATATATGCAGTATAAAAGAAGAAACTATAATATAGAAAACCTAAAACTAAAAATTTAAATCGTCAAAAAGACCTGCTCCCCGTGGTATAGTGCCAAGAACGCTGGCTGCGTTTCCTCGCTGAATAGCTATACTTAGCCTTTGAGCGAAAGGAAAGAACCAGCCCTCTTATCACCGATTATATATATATCATATATACATTTTGTGAGGCTTTTCCAAGCGGGAAAACATGATTAATAATGTAACATTTCTTGAGTCCTGCCTTCGTGAACAGGTTAACTTAGCTTAAAAGGCACTACCAGAATCTTTCAATTGCTCTAATGAATATTCATTCTTCCAAAAGACACCTAAAAGAACTAAGTTACTAAGCAAACACAACGTAAATAAGGGTCGTAACTAAGCAGATCATGCCATAAATATTACCAAGGGCTAATCCTTTAGAAAGATAATTTAGAATGATCAAAAGATATTTTAATTATCCTGGTCACACATAATGATAAATTTTATATAAAAGGGTATATATTATATAATAATATAAATATAAGAGGGATATTTGCGTTAAAACATGTAGACAGTGGCACCAGTGTAATGACACGTGTACGATTTGATGGTATGCGTAAATTAAATGAACACGAACACAAATGCGTGTTGCCAGTGATGACTTACAGATCTGAGACGTGGTCCTTCACCGCTGGCCGTATGAGGACGCTCAAGGTCGCTCAGCGAGCTATGGAGAGGGCTATGCTCGGAGTTTCACTGCGTGATAGACTCAGTAATGAGGCTATCCGCAGTAAAACCGGAGTGACCGACATAGCCCAAAGGATTAGTAAGCTGAAGTGGCAATGGGCCGGCCATATAGCTCGAAGAACCGATAACCCATGGGGGAAGAAAGGTTCTCGAGTGGCAGCCTCGTACCGGTAGGCGTAGTGTAGGGCGATCCCGCACTAGATGGAGTGACGACCTGGTAAGACATGCAGGAAGTCGATGGATGCAGGTGGCTCAGGACCGTGCTTTGTGGCATTACTTGGGGGAGGCCTATGTTCAGCAGTGGACTTGTGAAGGGCTGTAATGATGATGATGAACACAAATGCTGTAGTCTGCGTGTTTAGTAACGCGATTCAACTTTACATTGGTGGTGAACTATACAGTATTGGGTTTTTCTTGCACCCCCACGACATTGACAGAATTTTTGTTTGGGAATTAACGCGCACGCCGTTCCAGTTGGTTGAATACTCAAAATTACCCAAAACAAAACCCTTTCGAATGCCAACAAGTTCTTTCAAATCGGTCAAGACGTTCAAAAGTTATGAGCGGTTTACACACACAACACACACACACACACACACACACACACACACACACACACACACACACACACACACAACACACACATACACACACATACACACACATACACACACACACACACACACACACACACACACACACACACACACACACACACACACACACACACACACGAACGCACGCACGCAAGACGTCTTCGTAGGAAAAGTCAGAAAAGCTTCCTAGGACCTCAAAACGTCAAGATCTGATGAAATCGATTTCCCAAAACTGTGTGAAACACTGTTATTTTTCAAAAATCATTGCTTTTCATAGCGAGAAGTTAAAAATAAGTTTATAATAGGTATATGGATGCCATTTCGTGTAGTGACGGTGTAATAATATCTACGGTTACGTTTTTTACGCTTTTCGTCGTGGTCGATCAGCTGGTGATCTTCTGGTCTACCTGACTTATAGATGGGCGACGTCAGTAGAGTCCAAGGGGGAGGTATTGACCTTTAGTTTGGACATTGCGAAAGCCTTCGATCGGATTTGGAACAAAGCGCTTCTTTCGAAGCTCCCTTTCAATGTGCTTCTTGAGAAATTATGTATAATGTTTCTTGCAGATCGGAGCATCAAGGTCATTTTAGATGGTGAAAACTCCGATTGAAAATGTGGCCGTGGTAGGAAAAGGGGAGATCTCCCGCCGGGCAAGGTGTTCTGCCCGGGGAGCGGCCGACACTCCAAGTGATAGTTCGGAGAAGTTCTGTATATAGTGTCTATGGTTCGGAATCTTGATAGAGCGATTTAGGCTTCGGTGTGTTTTCGCTTGCGGCGCGAGGACAGCGCCGCTACATCACCCCCTGCTCAAACCGGAGGTCGATAGTGCAGCCTCGTGTCGACGAATGTGCAATTGCCGGGATATTGCCTTGTAGTCTGCGGTGAGTCAAGAAGAAGGCAAGTAATCTGCGAGAGTGCCGTGAAGCAGAGGCGAGCAGTAAGGCTCAGAGCCGTGCCGAACACTGTAGCGCAGAGAGTAGCTTGAAGGAACAGGAAGCATTATTATTCCAGTGCTGCGATGAACCTTGTGAAGCTAGATGGCTTGCAGAATATGAAGACTGCAGACGATATCTGCTCGGGAGCGAATGGGTGGGGTATTCTATGACGTTGATGAAGCTTGAAGTTTCCGAAGGTTGTTGGTTGCGTGTTCAGATCACGTCGGGGTCACCACTGTGGCCGTGGTAGGAAAAGGGGAGATCTCCCGCCGGGCAAGGTGTTCTGCCCGGGGAGCGGCCGACACTCCAAGTGATAGTTCGGAGAAGTTCTGTATATAGTGTCTATGGTTCGGAATCTTGATAGAGCGATTTAGGCTTCGGTGTGTTTTCGCTTGCGGCGCGAGGACAGCGCCGCTACAAAAACCTATTATCCTGGTGTTCCACAAGGCTGCGTGCTATCACCAAAGCTATTTATTCTGCATATCAACGATATGTTACAAACCGGCAACATTCATTGCTATGCAGAAGACAGCACAAGTGATGCTCTGTACAGCGGCCGTG